CTCTCTCTCTCTCTCTCTCTCGTGTTCAACTATTGATTGGTGATCTACACAATATTTTCAAGGTACAGTGGAGTCCACTTATAACGAGTCCGGAAAAAACGAGAAGTCGGTTATAAAGGCACTATTCTAAAACCCCGTTTTTTTCTCCTCTTTACCTTTGTAAACAAAATACTGCTATAGCGCTATCCGACAAACATGCGAGTCGGTTATAGCGGAATATTCCTGCTGCTGTGCACATGGCATAGGCCAATTATACATCATGCAAGACCTCGCCAGTTGAGAAACTTGTTGCTGATATTGCGAAACAAAGAATAGGAGAGCCCATGTGCGTCAACAATGAAGACCGGAGGAACTGAGTAGGGAGGGTGCGGCATGCGAAGACAAGCAGATGGCACCGCTTGATAGGCCAGTTAAGATTATCAAGGCCTGCCATGCCTCTCACTTCTCCGATGCGGGGATGGAGAGGTCAAAGCAATGTGATGGATGGAGCGAATGTGTGACGTGCGCAAGCAGACAGAATGCACCACAGGGTGGGGTGGGGGGAAAACACAGCGGGCGAGTTAGCCCAGAGACCTTTTCTTTCTGAACGCCAACACCGAGCTGTCAGTCCACATCGCTAGATCTAGCTTTAGAGAAACAAACCTGATTTGATTTTTGATCAAGTAAGACCTAGAGGTCATGTTGAAACAAAATCATCATCAGGGGAGATAGCAAAAGAAAAAAACCCCTCACCAAACTCATAGATTAGAAGACCTACTTTACAGTTTCTCTTGAATTTATTACTGGCTCCATTATAGCGAGAATCCTGCTATAACAGACATTTTACTTCGGTCCCCTCCCTCTCGTTATAACAGGATTCCACTGTATCCTCTAGAGGAAAACAAGGTGTGAATATTCTGTTATTTTTCAGACTAGACACAAAAAAGCTGGTGCTAGATGTAAGTTTATTGTGAAGTTAGTCTTTCTCACTTAGATAGGTGGATGTTGTCATTTTAGAGGTTTAAGGAAACATACTTAATGTCTTCATTCCTTTCTGATCAGGCTACAGCTTCAGATATGTGTGTACTTATCACTGAGACTGAACCGTCAGTAGCCTTTTTGATTGAAAATGCAAAGGAATTGTTTGAGGTAAGTGAAGCTCTCTTCATGGATTGTGTTAGTCTCTCTCTCTCTCTCTCTCTCTCTCTCTCTCTCTCTCTCTCTCTCTCTCTCTCTC